TGCCTGGCTGGGCGGCTGGACCCGCGGACCTGGGCGCCGGGACGGTCCGCCCCAGCACGCTTCCCCTGGGACCTCGCTCCCACCCGGGTCCCGCCGCCGGACGCCGGGGTCCCTTACCATGAGCCAGGAGTGCCAGCAGCGAGGGCAGGAGCAGCAGGGCTGCCGGGTGCATGGTGCCAGCGGCAGCCGCGCCCCGGATCGGGGCCGCGGCGGGAGGGCAGAGGACTCGGTGGGGCGTGAGCGCTGGGGCAGAGCCGGGTCCGGCGGGGGAAAGGGAGCGGGGCCGCCGCCGCCGCCAGCGCCTGACAGAATCAGCACCACGGCCAGCGCCTGGCGTCGGCGCCCGGGATCGCCGTGCGGGGCTGGGGGCGGGGGCGCGGGAGGAGAGGTTTACCGTAAAGTCTCAAGCAAAGGCGCAAAAGACCCAGCGGCAAGAGCACAGGCTCCCGCGCCGCCGCCAGCTCTGGGGAGGGACTGCCCTACTAATGTGAGCACACGGCCCCCGCCCCTCCGCGCTGCCCGCCCCCAGCCAAGCCTGCTATCCTCTTTTCCATTAGCAGCCTGCCCGAAGAAGTGGGGTTTTAACACGATTCTCCATGAGGCAGAAAGAGCCCAGCAACCTCCTTCCCACCTCTTCCCACCCCATCCTGGTACCTGAGGGCTAAAAGGGTGACCTGGGAAGGCGTCTGTGAGTGAGGCAGCTGGTGAGACCCGTGTGCCCTTGTAGCAGCTATGTTCTGGGCCCATAATGAAGATAGCTTTTGAGCATACAAAGGACAATAAATTATTACTTTGTGCTCAATAAATGCCAGGGCTCCAGGCAGCTGCATCAGCAGCAAACTGTGCTCACAGAAAAGCTTAATTATCCTGATATTATAGCTAAAAGCCAGTGGCACTCATGTCCTGGGCAGACATTCTTCATTTGGCAGAAGGCAACGTTGGCCAAGCTTTGGGCAGCAGAAAGTGTTATCCTGGGTCCCCAGTGCAGCTCTGGATCTCCAGGACTCTTCCTTGGAGAGGAAGGACCTCTGAAGGACCAGAGAGGCCAAGACAGCTAGCCAGTCAGCACAGACACTTGATGCTACTCCTTGCTTACGTTCCTGGAACTGAGTGAAAAAATGGGGCAGGCACTGTGGAGAGGGTATCTCTAGGGTTGTTTCAGACAGAGACTTCAAGAAGCTCCTAGAGACTAGCCAAGAAGGCTCTACCATTTTTCCATAGAAAAACAAGCTTCCAAGGACCTGTGCCCAAGTGAGCTACAGGGCAGCAAGGGGGCCAGGCACAGCTGTGCTATCCCTGAATCGCATGATTAAGACTCAGAGGTTATGGCTCCATGGACATGATGGGAAATGACCCTGCGACTGATGTTTTTATTCTCTGTAGAGGAAGATGAGGGCTGAGCTCCCTGTGGTCCTGGAAAGAAGGTTAACTTTGTGTTTAGTTCTTTTCCATAACTTGGTTCCTCCTCAAAGCTTCAAAAACCCAGTCATTGTCCAATACCCTCCTTGACCTCATCCAGGAAGCAAATGGCAAGACTTCTGCCCCAAGTCTCATTCCTCAGAGATTCCTATGGTACTTATGACCCCCACGGCCTTCCAGCTTTGCTTATGGCATTCTCTTCAGATCCTCTTCCTGTGGGCTCTGGGGAGCTCCCTTGACTGCTGTAAAGAATCCCAGCCAGCAGGCAGGTGGCGTGTAGAATTAGCCAAGGGAGAAGCTGGGAGAGGATTTCTGGAAAGTTGTCTTAAGAAGCTGAGAAAAAAGAGGGCAGTAGCAGAAGGATGGTGATGGAAGGAGGGTGATCAAAGGATCAGAAGTGAGAAGAGGAAGTCAAGAAAGAAGATACAGAGGGGAGGGGCCAACATATCACAGGGAAAGGAATAGAAGTGGAAGGTCCCGTGGTCAAAGGAAGTTTGAGGACATCCTGGCAAATGTCATGAGATCCTTCCTTTCCTCCTTGAAGATATTCCTGTGCACCTCCTAAGGACTGAGAAGCTAGAACAGAGGAGGGTGAGTCATGACCCAGGGGTGAACCTTGTATGCCAGGATGATTCATGAGGATTTGGAGGCTGGTGGCAGGCTTGTCTGACTTTCCTGGCAGCTGGGATCCTTGATGGGCTGGGCACTACCCATGGGAAGGAGGCTGAGATAAGTCACCCAGGAACTTGCCACATCTAGCTCTGAGCTGCCTGAACCAAGTATTTACAAGGGGGGGGGGGGTGTCCAATGGAGACTACAAGTCCCAGAATACAGCTCTCAGCCCTGATCTCAGAGGATGGGTTTGCACTCCCTGATGGGCATAGTAATGCACCTGAGCTGTCCCTCTCTCCTGAAGATGGTCCACACGGCTCCTATGCAATGGGTTCTATTGCATAGAAGCCATGTTAGGTTAGGTTGAGGCACAGCCTGGGCCAAACTGGGAAGCAGTGGAGTTTCTGTCAAGCATCTTCACCTTATCCAGACTCATGCCCTCCAAAGGGCCCATTCTGCCCAACCTCAATATTACCCACAAATTGAAGATGATGAGATGCTCACAGGGACATTCAGTTCTGTAAACAGGGCTTGCAGGCTTATAGTGTATACAAGTCATACTCACATTTGAGTGACAGCCTGAGGAGACTTGCAAGGCTCCCCTCTCTGGGCTCACTTCTTCCATTTTCTCTTTATCTCCCACCTTGCTCTTTGCCTCCAGAGGACCCTGTGTTTTCCCTATGTAATTGCTTGGTTAATTATTTGTCTTCTCTACTAGATTGTTGTTCTGGTTACCTAGTGCCACTCTGACAAGAATATACCACAAATGGGATGGCCTTAACAGGAGTTTATTCTTATAATTTGGAGGCTTTAAGTCCAAGTTCAAAGTGCCAGGCTCTAGGGGTTGGGTGAAAGTCCCTCAACCTTGGGGTCCAGCTCTGCCTCCTGCTCCCGGCCCACTGGAACTAGAGGAGTTTCTTCACTCAAACAGCTGAGAAGCCCCAAGATTGACAAGTGAAAAGGCACAGTCTGGATGTTACCAAACCACATGGCAGGCCATTAACTTAAGTCCACTGTAAGTCCCAAGGTCAGCAGAGCATAGCAGACTGCTGAGCAACAACACAGCTACATGCAGGGTCCAAGTGTGCCATATGCTTGAGACCATTCCCAAAGCTGCTGCTTATATACAGGAAGCAGACCACATATCAAAGCAGCTACTCAGCTGCTTGTGGTAGATCCCACCATGGAGTTGATTGCCAGTCTCATCATGGGGAATAACTACCACCAGCTGTCCAGCCACTCAACCAGGCCCAGCCAAGTCGACACAAGTGACTAAACCCTAAGAGAGGTCACTGGTTCCTAATGAATGCTATGAAATAAAGGAGAAGGGAGATATTACTTCTTTCGGGGGTGAGGGGAAGTCAGTGATGGCCTCATACAGCGGAAGCATGGGCTGAAGCTAAGTCTTGAATATATTTTAGGTTTCAGTCAATGGAGAGGAAGAGAGAGGTCATTCAAAGTGGGGGTATGGCTTATGCAAAGGTAAACCAAAGCCCACTGCCTTCAATTCAATTCTGACCCCTAGTGACCCTATAGGATGGAGTAGAATGGCCTCATAGGGTTTCCAAGGCCACTCCTTGGAAGGAAGATTGGGCAATCTACTTCCATAGTGATACTGCCTTGGAAACCCAAGGAGGGGTCACTATGAGTTGGGTCTGACTCGATGGCACATAACAAATCTTTATGAAAGCAGACTGCCACTTCTTTCTCCCACAGAGTAGCTGGTGGGTTCAAACTGCTAAACTTTTTTTTTTTTGTGTGTGTGTGTGTGTGTGTGTGTTTTAATTGTGATTTGTGTGAAAGTTAATAGAGCAAATTCACTTTCCATACAGCAGTTCACATACACTTTGTCTCATGACATTGACAACAATGTACCCCAATACAACAGCTCCTCTCCCACTTCCTTACAATAGTTACCTCTTCCCTGTGTCCATCCCTCCATGCGCTCCTGTCCCCTGAGCTATCTCCCTGTGTATAAACAGCCCTTCTTTCTCACATGATTGTTCTCTCCAAGGAATGTATCTACCTCAGTTAAATGTTCAACTCATATGCCTGTCTTTTGTTTGGCTGGAAGCCACAGGTGTGGGTTCAATTTCAGACCTGAAAGGCAGCTAGGGGTCATAGTCTCAGTGGTTCCACCAGGCTCTATCAGACCAGCAAACCTGCACCCCCCCTTTTTTCCAAATGATTTTTAGTTTTGTTCCACATTGTTTTCCCTCTCTATCCAGGATCTCCTACATAGATTCCCCTCCAAGTAGTTGACAGCAGTAGCCAGGCACCATCTAGTTCTTCTGGGTTCATAGTCAAGTCGTATAGGCTGTGGATCGCATGGTGTACCAGTCAGTCGTAGGACTAATTGTTTCCATGAATCCTTGGTTTTCTTCATTCATCTTTGCTCTGGACCCGGAGAGACCCATCATTGCACCTAGATGGCTACTTGCAAGCTTTTAAGATCCCAGTTGCTACTTGCCAAAGTAGGAGGTGGAACAATGTCAAACTGCTATCCTTTTGATTAGCAGCTGAGTGGTTAACCACTGCACCAACAGGGCTCCTATTCAAAGGCAAAAACTCTCAAAAACCAAACTCACTGCCATCTGCCATCGAGTCAGATCCGACTCATAGTGACCCCTCCTTGGATTTCCGAGACAGTATCACTACAGAAGTAGATTGCCCAACTGTCCTTCTAAGGAGTGGCTGGTGGGTTTGAACCGCCAGATTTCTGGTTAGCAGTCAAATGCCTTAGGCACTACACCAAAGTGGCGATAAAATGCAAGACAGAGAGAAGCCTGTTCTGGTGGAGCTCAGTCCCTGCAGTGAAGTAGGAGGAAGGGTTGGAGTAGTAGGCTGCGGTCAGGCTGTGAGAAGCTTTGTGGTCCTTTAAGGAGTCCTGAGGAGCTCTGGTAGCATAGTGCCTAAGGCACATAACTGCTAACCAGAAGGCTGGCAGTTCAAACCCACTAGCCACTCCTCGGAAGGAAGGTTGGGCATTCCTACTTCCGTAGTGATACTGCCT